AACTTGCTTTGTCGGCGACGCCCAGGACACAGATCCTGAGGACATCAGCGAAGCAGAGCTGGTGCCCGATGCTGAGATGCCTCAGCGAGGTGCCCCTGATGGGGTGGATGATGCCGGTGGCGCACTGACGCCCGAGGAAAGAGAACGCCTCATTTTGGAACAATTCCCGTTCCCCGGAACGCCGAATACAGAGGCAGAGCGCCGAGCGGCGTGGAGATCGTTACCGCAACGAGTCCGGGTAGCTATAAGGCGCCTGCACCGATCGTTTGGCCATCTGCCAAACGCAGTCCTGGTTCAGGTCCTGAAGCAGGCCCGGGCGAGCAAGGATTTCATCGCCGCTGCCGGACTTTACAAGTGTAAGGTCTGCCTGGACACAGCTCCAGTGCCCAGGCATCACCCTGTCGCAGGCGATAGTGTATTCCCTAAGGAGTTCAACCATACGATAGGTATGGATGCGCTAGAGGTCAAAGACTTCTATGGAAATCGCTATACTGCTGTCAATATAGTTGACATGGGAACAAGCTTCCAGCAAGTTGTTCTCGTGAAATCTGGGGGTGGTAACCCAAGTGCCCGCCAGTGTGTGAAATGCCTGATCGACAGGTGGGTCAGCTGGGCTGGACATCCCAAAGTCATAACCACTGACAGAGGGACGCACTTCAGGGGAGAATTTTCAGAGTATTTGGCACAGCATGGTATAATCCATAAAAACGCCCCTCTTGAGAGCCCGCAGACTATTGGAAAGGTTGAACGCCATGGTGGACTTGCTAAGGCCATCATCAGGAAAGTCGCGCAGGAGGCTCAACCCTCGAATATCGAGGAGATGGAGGCGGTCGTTACCGAAAGTGTTACTACTAAGAACGAGCTTAGTAGGCACCAAGGGTTTAGCCCGGCACAACACGTGTTGGGAAAGCAGCCTCGAACGCCGGGTTCAGTGCTAGATGAATCCGAAAGCCTTGGTACATTGTTCACCAAGTATGATGAGACGAGTGTATACTACATTCGGCACAGAGCACGGCAGGAAGCCAAAAAGGCCTTTGTTCACTTAGAGACTTCCCGCAAAGTGGCCAAAGCGTTACAGCGTAATGCAGCCCCTCTAGACACTGACTATAAGGTTGGTGATTTAGTTATTTACCGTCGGGATAACGTCCCTGGCAGCCCAGGTGTCGTGTGGTCCACGGTTAGCCGCGTCATAGGACGTGAGGCAGAGAATGCGTACTGGGTATTACACGAGAATATCCCTGTACTTGTGAACGCTAGGAAGATGCGCCCGGCTGATGAAATTGAAGTTGCAGCGCATCGCGTTTTGGCAGGAGAACCAGTGCTTCCGGAAGCCATTGTTCATGGACCGGAACAAAGGTTCCAGGATGAGCGCGTAGCAGACCCGGTCACAGCACCAGCGACGCCACGTCCAGTGGCTGCAGCTGCCCCGCTTACACCGGCAGTCGCGCACGATGTGCCTATGCCAGCACCATCGACGCCAGCGATGATGCCCGGCACACCGATGCCAGCGCTATCCACGCCTGCAAGGTTTCGCGCCAAAGATAAGACGGGCGAAACCGCCCGGTCGCGATCGCCAGTAGGAGGCCGTGATGATGCACTAGTTGCGGAAGAAATTGATCAAGTAGAGATCATGGCAAAAGGGCTGATAGATACTCAGGGTTTTTCCCCGGATGAGTGTCTGGCCCTCCTTCGTGCCTATGACCGCGACCGACGCGAGGCTTACACGCGCCCGCTCCTAGATGATGGAGATCCCGGGTGCATAGCCCTCGCGGTGGGAGTATATCGGCACGGTGGTCTTGTTGGAGTTTCTGGACCAACGCGCGAGAGACCGTCGTTTGCCATGTACCTCAACCACTACATCTTGCATCACAGTATGCAAGCCGGTCATCACCTCCCACAGTGGAGTAGCGTTCAGCTTACCAACAGAGGCGCAGAGGCCCATAGAGACCTAGCGAACACTCCTGGCTCGCATAACTACACTATAGGTGTGGGCGAGTATCGTGGAGGCGGTCTATGGGTGGAAGAAGCCACGGGTACAACCCCCGTGCGTGTTCAAAACACGACAATGTATGGCACCGTCCACGATACTAAGAACAAGGTTCTTAAGTTTCGCCCGAAGGACGTGCACATGGTCGCACCGTTTGTAGGAGAAAGATACAGTCTCTTCCGCATACACGGTGAGTGATCTCGGCAAGTTGTCTAAAGATGACATACAGCTTTTGTCGGACTTAGGCTACCCCATATATAGGGATGCGCCCAATACCTTTGGCAGGAAGGGCGATGGGATATACACCATGGGTCACTCTGATCTTCCCATCGAGACGTTCCTAGAACGCATCCATGAGTACGGGATTAAGGAAATCATAGATTGCAGAAGCCATCCGTACAGCGTTCGGCATCCACAATACAATTGTGATGAGCTTTCCGCCACATGCTTTGCAAAAGGGGTTGTGTACAGTCACGCCCCCGAGTTAGGCAACAGGAATCGGGGCGGGATTGAAGCCAATCTGCAAACAGACCAAGGGCTCTGTACGATCGCTAGAATAGTTAGCGAGGCCCACGATGACTTCCACCGAATACTTCTGTTGTGTTCGGAGGCCAGTTGGCGGCGATGCCATCGGCGAAATATCGCCCAGCACATATGGCTCGAGCATTCGAAACTTGCCGAGCACATACGTGCTAACGGACTGCCAGAAGCCCATCCGTGTCACTACATTCCTGAGGAAGACGACGGACTGGCAGCGGCATCGCACACAGCTGCGATTGGCACGACTGTGCCAGCAGCTGAGCCCTCGGATAGTCGAGCGGCGGAATCCAAGGCCTTTGCTCTCACCCCAGATGGGGAAGACGCCATCGGCTCTAATGTCGATGCTGGCTACATGGCCTCGCTCCTGGATTACCACAAAGCCCCTGTCGAAGTACAGCTGGGGCTGGATGCTGCCATGAAAACTGAATGGCAGAAGTACACTGAATTCAACGCAGTGGTCCCTTGCACAGACAAGGAGTTCAAGGAGCTTACAAAGGCTGGCCACGTGTGCATCCCCACCAAATGGGTCCTCACCGATAAGAATGAACACCTAAAGGGGACGCCAGCATACACTCCCAAGTGGAAAGCACGCTTGGTCGCATGTGGAAACTTCGAGCATATCTCGAATGAGGAGGATATCAGGGCAGACAGCCCCACGGCCGAGCCGGAAGGCATAGCCCTTCTGTGTTCATGGGCGGTTTCATTGGCCCTGCGGCTCAAAGCAGCCGATATAACGAACGCATACTTCCAAGGGAAACCCCTTGAGCGCCTTCTCATTCTTCGGGTTCCTAAACACCCTAAGGGTGTACCCGATGCAGAGATTCAGCGAGCCGGGCATATGATTGCCCGAGTACCCGTGTATGGCACGACCGACGCGGGTCGGAACCTTTATCTCCGCATAAAGGAGAGTGCCCGCGAATTTGGCTTAAATGCCTCGCAAATTCTGTCAGCCCTGTACTATATTACAGGAGAAGGTGGTCGTTTGTGTGCTTGCTTGTGCACCCACGTGGATGATTTCCTGTGGGCTGCTACCGCCGAAGGCGAGCCGGCTATCCAGAATCTGCTGGATAAGTTTAAGATCGGTCGCATAGAGACTGAGAAGTTCCGTTTCTGCGGACGCGAGTATGTGCAAAGCGCCGATGGGACCATCAGTATAAACTGTAGGGACAACACGCGTGCAATTCGCCCGATCGATATTCATAAGTCTGAAAAGGGCACGACTCCAGTCTCGAATGGCCAGCGCACAGCGCTGAGATCCGTCATAGGATCGCTGGCTTGGGTGGCTCGCGCCACGAGACCTGATCTTGCCTATAGGGTGAATGCCCTGCAGCAGCGTGTTACGACAGCCACGGTGGATACACTCCGTGAAGCAAACCGCGTAGTAGCACTGGCGTTAGGAGATGCGGATAGGCCGATCACGTACAGCGCTAAGTTACCCTGGAATACAGGGGAGCTGGCGATTGTCACGTTTTGCGACGCCTCCTTTGCAGGAGAGGCAAACCATAAGTCGCAGAGAGGTCGTTTCCACTATCTCACTTCCGCACAGTCGGCGGTGGACAAGAACGCGTCAACGCATGAGATGCACCTCATTTCGTTTTCCTCGTCCACCATGAAACGGGTTTGTCGCGCCACACTCCAGTGTGAGGCTTACTCGTTGCAACATGCGATAGAGCATGGAGACCGCATTCGAGCAGCAGTGCTCGAACTGCTCGGCAAACTGCCCCGGTCACAGAACTGGGAAGAAGTCGCCAAGAGATCGATGTTCCACCTGCAGTATACGGACTGCAGGTCCCTTTCGGATCACTTGACTGCGTCGATTCCAAAATCATGCGAGGATAAACGCCTCGCCATAGAGATGTCTGGACTCCGCCAAGGACTTTGGGAAGAGGACGAGCTAACGCACGCCTTGTACCATCCTTACGGCGACGAGTTGAGATGGATACCGACGCATTTACAACTTGCGGATTGTTTGACTAAGAGTATGAAACCGCTTTTGATCAATCACAGCATTGATCGCAATCTCGTTCAGGTGCTCGATGTGCCCGCGCAAGCCGCACAGAATGTCGAGAGTACCTAAAGCACTCCGCTTTACGATCGAAGAACTCAGCCTGGAGCCTTGAGTCGCCGCACTCGGCTCGGTTGACTGCGCAAGCTTCCGGTATAATCCGGTGAAGTAGGCTTGGTCCAAAGCGGCCATAATTCGAGCATGATTCGGACGTCACACTACAGATAAGACGGGTGTGAAATTTCCCTGTCTTGAAGCGCCGTGTTGACATGTCCTCATGCGTGAATAGTTTTTGAGACAGTTCTGAACGCACCCTATTCGACAGACGTCTTGGGCTCAGACCAAAAAGTGCGCTCGTTGTGTGGTTGGACACTCACTAATCCAGTTCCTGCTTCAAAACCCTAAACCCTAACAGCCCTGGGCGGGTGGGAAAAAAGCAGGAAAAACCCGAAAGCCCCACGAACCCAGGACCTCGGCGTTGGTCAGCCGGGACGAGCCACTCCTGGATATCCTGGAGTCAGAGGTCTTCGATATGGTCTTACAGCGCTGCTTAGCAATAGTAAGCCATGGTTTGAGGTATTGGGGTTTACTTTACGGTTTTAGTAAGCTCTCTCCTTTTTCGGGGTAGTATACCCCAAGATCAGCGTTACTTCGCAGAGTAAGTAGCCTTTATCCTTCTTTCGGGGTAGTAAGACCCATCTTGGAATCCCAATCCCAAAGCTTAAACGGTAGCCCCCCACAAACATGGACAAGTGAGGCTACAACCTGGGTTCTAAGGGAAAGGCGAGCCTGGTATCCCAGCTGGTCTCCCTGGCCTCGCGCCGCGCCAGTGACTGGGTTCTTGTTAGGGTTTTAGTTTAAGTTACCAGAGATAAGGGTTCCTGTAAGGGTTACCATAGCTTAGGGTTCCTTTAAGGGTTCCGTTAAGGGTTTAAGGGTCAATTAGTTCAAGGTTTAAGTCACCATAATGTAGGAACCCGATTAAGAAACCCTGGGTCTATAACCCCAAAACAGTAGGATTCATTTAAGGAGCCCTAGTAAACTGCCCAAGGTTTCTTAATCGGGCTCCTACATCCTACATTACCTTTGAAGGGTTCCCTTTGTGACTGATTTGGGGTCTATACGGGTTCTACTGTTGCCACTCCTGCTTGAGTACAGTTACATGGTCCTACTTGGGTACAGTTACATTGAGCGACGCGGAACTGATTCATATGAAGTAGGGCTTATATTACCATTTTGGTGAGTGTAGATAGGCCTCCTTTTGAATTTTGGTGAGTGTATGTATTGGGTTTTATTATGGGGATACTAGTAATATAAACCATACTCTATATAAGAAGCCCAAGGTTTCTTAATCAGGTTCCTACATTTGAAAGGAAAAGAACCCAGAGACTCCAATATCCCTTAATTAAGGAATATTTCTTAAATCATATTACGGATCCTACTATAATTCAAGGTATATTCCTTAATTAAGGGGTATTGGAGTCTCTAGGAACCAAGGTGAGGAGACGCAGCCTTCGACGATGACCCTGGCAAAGCAGGCCAAGGAGTTTCCGGAAACTTCGGGGGTACCGTAGGGTTCCTTTCAAGAGGGTTACTGTTAAGGGTACTATAAGGGTCCCTTTAAAAGGCTTGAAAAAGGGTTCCTTTAAAGAGGGGTAGTTTAAGGGTACTATATTGCTTAGTAGCTGAGTGGGAACACTTTACACTTTCCGGGATAATACTAACCACTAAAAAACTGAAAGTGTACGCGTTTTGGGGCTTATGAACTCAGCAACTAAGACTAGGGTCCCCTATTTTCGAAAGCCCCGAAATCGAAACCTTAGGCTCGAAAGCCCAAACGCCACACACTAAAAGCCCAACAGTCACGGCCCCAAAACCCAAAACCCGGTAAGTGCAAAACCTTCAAGGCCTTAACTACCCTCAAACCCCTAGCCCCTAGCCCCTCAACCCCAAACCCTCAACCCCCTTTAACCTCGAAGGCCCCAAAAAAACCCTAAACCCTAAACCCTAAGCTCTATTTGGCCCTAAACCCTAAACCCCATAGATCCCTCTAAGGAACCCTATAGATCCCTCTAAGGAGCCCTTTAAGAGCCCTTACTATTTCCATGGCCCCTCCAAGTAAACCCTAGAACCCAGAGACTCCAATACCCCTTTTTTTTTAAGGAATATTCCTTAAATCATATTAAGGATCCTACTATAATTTAAGGTATATTCCTTAATTAAGGGGTATTGGAGTCTCTGGGAAGCGCAACACCCAAGCTGCCAGGCCACTTTGTCGACTCTGCCCTCGGAGAAGCTTCCCTACGAGGCCTCACCGGAGCCCGCGGAGGAGAGAGCGCCCTGTAGTTCAGGAATATGCAGTTTAGGGTGGGAAAGGGGGCTGTTGCTGTAACCGGGCTGCTGGACAACGAGGCCTGCTGCAAAAAGGGTTCAAGGTCTGGGGTAAAGGGAGTAACGAATTATAAGGAATATACAGCTCAGGGTTTAAGGTTCAAGGTTTGGGGTTGGGGGTAAGGGTTCAGGGTCTTCGGATGCAAGGATCTGGCTAGTCCGCAAGCCCAGCTGCAAAAAAAGGGGTTTCCGTTTGGGGTTGAGGGTTTAAGTCTACGCTTTAGGGTTTCAGGCTTAGAGCTATAAGGTTTGGGGCGGAGGTCCTTATGATGGGATACTTACGTTATGTTCCGCAATCGGGTTTGGGGGTCTCTGGGAGCTCAAAGAGGAGACAAAGCCCATGCTGCCGCGGCCGCCAATGCAGATGGCCTCGCCACCCGTTCTTTGCCGAGGTGGGGGCATCTTTAAACAAATCAACGAGGGGGTTACCTTTTTGAAACATGGTCTTCATAATAAGGAACCTATGATTTATCTTAAGGATCCTTTGGTACGATGTCTAGATTTGATGTCCCTCGTTCTTTGTGCCGAGGTGGTGGGAAGGTCTCGGTGGTCAGTGGCCGGCCTTTCGTGGTAAAAAGCCATCAAACCCTTCAGAACCTTTGGCAATTTCAGATACGCTTTGATTTTCCTTTCGGTCGTATCGTCTTCGTCTTTACCTTTTCAAGGACGTGTTTTTTTTCGGGCCCCTTAGAACCCGAAACCCCAAGCCTCCAGACCAGGAAGGCACGAGGAGTGGCTGAGCCCATGTCCGTTTTGGCCCAGCAGGGAAGCTCCCGAACAAAGCGGAGCCCCCGGCGGGGCCCATCGACCCTGGGCTCCCTGCAGGAGAGCACCGTCTCGAGCTTCTTCTCCTAGGGCCCTCAGAGCCGGCAAATCTTCCTTAGTAGCTGAGTGGATACGCTTTACACTTTTCGGGATAATTTTACCCACTGTACAACTGAAAGTGTACACTCTTTGGGGCTTATGAACTCAGCAACTAAGCTTCGCACTTCCTGCCAGACTGTTGTCTGTTGTTTTCTGCTAGGGTGATACGTGTGGTTTCTTTCTTGTTGCTATGGTGCTACTACTACAATCATCAAACGAAATACGGCCTCTGTCGAAGAGCCTGATTATGAGGACGGCTCTCGTCAGCTTCAGTTTCACTTGAGACCTATGCGGCGCCGAGCAAGATGCTGCGCCGGTGGGTGGTTCATTCCGGGCTCTCAGCCATGCAGCATCAACATTCAAGCCCAAGATCCGCTCATCCCAGAGCCGAAACGCATGATCCCAGCATCCTGCAGCCCTAGCTCGCGACCCGGCATGCTGTATCTCTAAAGCCTCTTCGACCCTCCCTGTCCTTTGAGAACCCAGTGACGTGATGCGGTGCGGTCGGGGAAATGCCGACCCTCGCCGACCATCGGTAAGGCGTTGGAAAAGAAGCCCGAATAGTGCCGAACAGGAGGTTCGGGGCACCCCCAGCACTTTCATGGGAGATCTATGCATCCTGCTTTTCTGTAGGAGCAAGAATAATTCGTAGCCTCCTGCCTTCATCATGGATGATCAAGGTCTAGATTCGCAGGATCACAAGGGAACCCTGATGTTGGGGAGCAATTATGCGCCGGTTCAAACTGCGGCCTAGGGGTTTAAGCTATGATCAGTTGGCAAAGCCAGCACCTGAGGAACATGAACCTGAGCGACGTGAAAGCTGCAGTGCGGACAGATCCCTTCATGGCTTTGGACCGTCTTAGATCGGAGTTCCAGGACAGTCTTGGCTTGGCGTTGAGGTGGAGGTAAGTCTGGATGAGGGAGCGCCATCCGAGATGAGGTGCTGGGCCCTCAACCATGTGCCCTAAACCCTATAAACCTTGAGCCCTAAACCTTAAACCCTGGAAGATGCCCAAACCCATAATGGCGGCGGAGGAGATCGCAAAGATCCAGCACTTCGGGGGCGGCTCGCTGGCCAGCGGCAGCGTCACGCCCAGCAGCGCACGGAGCAGCGCTTCCCCGTCCATGTCCATGAGGAAGTCGCCACTTTGCAGCCTGTGGGTTCCCTTTTTCAGGGTTCAGGGCTTGCAAAATAAGACGTGCGTCGGTGCGACGCGCCTCGAATCTTCAAAGCCCTTGTAACTTGAAGACATGTCCCCGGCGACCCCGAATCCCCAACCCTTCTAAACCTTAAGCTATTCTGCCATTCTGCGAGCCCCAGGAAGACCGAGCCACATAGCCTCAGTTCGCTACGTGAGGCCTTTGGCTGTTAGGGTCTGGGTGCAGGATCTAGGGCTTAAAGGGTTTAGGGTTTCGGGCTTGGGGTTCCAGGGTGGGGGTTAGAGTTGAAGGCTTCAGGAGTAGCCTTCAAGGTTTCCAAACGGTTCGATGATAGTTTTAGTGCGAATGTGGCTTCACGGAACACACCGGAGGATAGACCCAGAATGTAGGCTCAGGGGTATGATGTAGGATTCAATGGTTTTGGCTTCAGTACGAGCAGCAAAGTAGTGGTCGTCGTCGGAGCCGCGTCGTCCGCTTCGTGGCCGCAGAAGTAGCAGCTGCAGCAGCCGTTGCAGTATATGAAGTAGAAGCAGACAGCAGAAGCTGTAGAAGTCTCAGGAGGAGTAGTAGTCGTCGTCGTCGTAGTGGTAGTAGTTTAGTAGTAGTAGTAGTAGTAGTAGTAGTAGTAGTAGTAGGAGGAGGAGGAGGAGTAGTAGTAGTAGTAGGAGTAGGAGTAGGAGTAGGAGTAGTAGTAGGAGTAGTAGTAGTAGTAGGAGTAGAGAGTAGTAGTAGTAGTAGTAGTAGTAGTAGTAGTAGTAGTAGTAGTAGTAGTAGTAGTAGTAGTAGTAGTAGTAGTAGTAGTAGTAGTAGTAGTAGTAGTAGTAGTAGTAGGAGTAGGAGTAGGAGTAGGAGTAGGAGTAGGAGTAGGAGTAGGAGTAGGAGTAGGAGTAGGAGTAGGAGTAGGAGTAGGAATAGGTAGGAGTAGTAGTAGTAGTAGTAGTAGTAGTAGTAGTAGTAGTCGTAGTCGTAGTAGTAGTAGTAGTAGTAGTAGTAGTAGTAGTAGTAGTAGTAGTAGTAGTAGTAGTAGTAGTAGTAGGCGTTGTCGTAGTACTAGTGGTTGTGGTCGTGGTGTTGGTGGTAGTGGCGGTGGTAGTGGGCAGTGGCAGTGGTAGGGGTAGGGTAGTGGTGGTAGTGAGGCAGTGGCAGTGGTAGTTGTAAAAGAAAGATCGGATTGCTCTCATCATATTCGGGGTAATGCCATGCCCGTAGACCTAGTAGCTGCCATCGCCGTCATGATGCAAGCCACGCGAGCGGCAAGAGCACTATTGAGGACAATCACAGTATCAACAGACCTCAATACAAAACTGAGGGTGGAATTAAACGACAAGACTCTTGACAAGACTGAGGGTGACCATTCACCAAGAAAAAACAACTACATTCAAGCAGCAGGGCCACTGACCATCACCGCCAGCAGAGACGTAGGTTTTGAAGTCGTAGCAGTGGCGGCAACCATCAGCGTGCCAGCAATACCTGAGTTCGAAACCAGCAATTAGCACGCAAAATAGACGTAAGAATACCGCCACAATCGACCTCTTTCAAATAACAGTAGTTTAAGAAGACTCACGGCCGTGGTGATGCTGGTAGCAGCAAGAAGCACAGCGCATGCATGGCCAATTAATGGCAAATACATGGAATGAACTGATGCTCGCCGATTAATGGCAAACACATGGTTACATGGAATGAATTGATGCTCGCCAAAAAGCAGCCAATACCAAATCATTTAGTAGCTGAGTAGGTAACCTTTAACCTTTCGGGGTTTGTATAATCCTACCAGAATGGAAACGGTTACCCTTTTTGTAGCTAGGGTAGCCTAAACCCTAGACCCCTAAACCCTAAACTCAGCTCCTAAGCCTTAGCAACTCCCCGAAGCCGCGAAGGAACCCTCATAGATCCCTTAAAGGAATCCTTTATAGATCCTTGATGTGGTAACTTACACTAAATTCCTTAACAAGAGCCCAGTAAATAGCTCCCCGAAGCCACAGAACTCGCTATGTTCGAGGCGTCATCGCGCTCCTCAGAGCGCTCACGGCTGAGCTGCCGCTTAACTGGGCTCCTGTTCAGGTTTTTTAGTTAAACGTACCATAATAATGGGGATCTATAGCATACAGTAACTTTTAGTTTAAGTTGCCAGAATAATAGGGATCTAAAGTAAATAATACCCAGTCATTTGCTAGGCTCTGTACACTTCTTTCGTAATCTTCCATCGGGTTCTAACAATTTATGCGTACGAGGATTATGCTTCGTTTTTGTGTTAGAGTTTTGGAACTCCTACGAAGAACGGCTTCTTCACGTCGAGGTTCTCGGGAGAAGCTTTCCAACTGTGGTGAGTTTGCACGTTTAGGCTTGGTGTGGCTGTCGCAGTAGGTCTGGATGCAAAAAGGTTTCGTGCGTCGGGTTCAAGTGATGTCCCTAAGTGGTTGCCAGTGGTTGCCAGGCGTAGACTTGTACAGGCCTGTAGATGAGGTTCTTGGGAGTTCTATGTTTTTGGTGAAGTGTGTTGTTTTTGCTATTTCCTGCCTCTCCCTCCGACTCCCGCCGGGGTGCAGAAAGCCTTCTGAAAGAATCCGTGTGGTAACCCGTTATAGGATTTCTTTCGGAACTGTGATCATAAATTAAACCCTAAACCTCAAAAGTAGAAGGAACCTTAGACCAAGGCAAGGTCGTGGAGGAGGCCTTCTCGCCTGTGTCGCTGCGGGATGGCTTGTCTCCGCGGGATGGCCTGTCCGCCCGGCGGAAGACCTCCCCGGAGCTGCTGGAGACCCAGGTGAAGGAGCTTGTGACGGTTTCATGTTGGTGAACGTTACTGTGCTCCTGCTGCTCTTGCGCGTCCTAGAACCGAATGTCATAACTAAGATGCTACTGCTACCCTTGCTACTGCTGCTGCTAGTATCGTTATCACGAAAGCTAGCCCCTGTGGAGCTAGCGGAGTATCTTACTTAAGCGAAGCTTACAACCAGGTAGGTATACAGGGTCCCCGGAGGCTCCGTCACGAAAAGCCCTAAACCCGGTCGGTTTTAGGATACGAATCGCATTTTTTTGGGAAACGAGGTGTTTTTTTTTGTTTTCTCTCTTGTTATCGTGCAAATGAACACTGCTTTCTAGGTCCCCCAGGGGGTTGTAAGCGGGGTGTACAACCTTTAAACCCTCCGAAGCGCCTGCATCGCCAGGGTTTGGGTGTAATGAGCTCCAAGATGGCAGTCATGTGCAGATCAGTCGTTGCACAGCCAGCCCAGAATGTTGTGTGCTTAGCGAGCTCAGATGGCAACTGGTAGTGGCAGAGTGTGCAGATCAGAGCTGCATCTGTAAATTTCGCATATACGCAAGTCCCTTAACTAGCTTTCGTCCCAGGCCCTCACCCCCAAGTGTGATTACTGCTGCTGCTGCTACAACTACGACTGTGCCTCCGACTACGACTTCGACGACGACGATGATGATTGGTACCACTGTAGTACTAGTAATAGTAGTACTGCTGCTCCTTCTCTTGTTCCTTCTCCAGCTCCTGCTTCTGCTACTGCCACTGCTACTGCAATTGCTGCTGCTTCTCCTGCTACTGCTACTTGCTACTGCTACGGCGAGTAAGGCGATTCCACAGCGGCCGCTATTCACTCTGCTGCTGCCACTACCGTTGCTCTTGGTCATGGCGGTTCCAGTGCTGCAATGACATGTGTAAGCATTGTGAGTTCGGTATTATGATGGTTACTATTGTTAGTGCCATTATCATTTTATTGTTGTTGTTAATCTTGCTTGTGTGCCGCTATTCTTGTTGCTACTATTGCTACTGTTGTTAATTTTCTTCTTATAGATGTCCCAGCAGCGTCGGCAGCACACCA